GCCCGCCAGCGGAGCCTTTGAGGGCCCGGGAGCCGCCTCCAGGCAGCTGTGGCGGGAGCCGCGGCTGGCAGGAAAAGGAAGAGGCTCCAGCAGATGCCCCGGCACCAACAAAGGCCCCGGGCAGCCTGGCAGGGCCCGGGGATGCCTCCCCCGGCAGCGCCGTCTCCCTGGAGACCCCCGGGCCGCGTTCCCAGGCCCCGGCCATCCCTGGGCACAATGAGGCACTTCAGGAGCCGGGGGGCTCTGCGGGGGCACCGCACACTCCTCTTCTTTCCCTCACACCTGCCCGGGGCCGCTGCTGCCCCCGGGGAGTGAGGGCTCCCCAGCTTTGCTGCGTAGAGGTGCCCCAAAATGCGCTCGGTACCTGCTGTCCCCCAAGCTGGGGGTCGGGATACGAGTGCAGAGGGAGGCGCTGGGGCATGCCCCCAGGGTGGCCTCACCGGACGGTCCCTGCTGTGGGCGCAGGAACAGCCCCAGGTGCTGGGCAGCCACCCTCATCCCCCTCACAGGAGGGTGCCACACGGAATTCCGGAGGTGCTGAGGGGGTGGAAAGCAACTGCCTATTGAGAAGCATCGAGGATGAAACGCCAGGCTTGGAGAAACCAGGACAACTTCCCTGGTGGGGAAATTCCCTGTGGGAGAGCAGGAACGAAGAGGGGAGGCTCCAGCACACTGCAGGACAGGCAAGGCTTTGGCGAGGCATTGGCATTTCCCTCACCAGCCCTGTGCAGGGCTCCTCCTCGGAGCTGGGACAAGCACGTGCCTGGCTCTTGGGGCAGGGGAGGCCGCTGAAGACACCAAAGGAGCCCCGGGGCACTCAGCCCTTCCCCAGTGCAGTTAATCAACCTCCAGAGGCCCTTCTGTTCCCATGACTTTTAAAAAGCATTAGTAAAATCTGTTAGAAATGCTAACTAAAGCTACCACAAAAATTCAAACCAAAACAGGTGCAGAGGAAGCCTAGAGGGAATATTGAGAATGAAACCTTGTTTTATTAGCAGTTAAAAGTTCCTGGCTCACTCTCCCTAGCAATAGGGAAGGTAAGGGGGGGACAATTGCTTTCACCAGTACAATTAAAATGTAATTCCACGGAAGAAATGCAAGTCAGTTAAAAATATTTGATGCAAGATCAAAGAAATTAAGTGCCATAAAGAAGTTATGCCTGGAAAGTTTCCAAGAAACAAGGGAACAAACTTCTACCACCTCTCTAAGAGGAGGAGTAGGATCAAAGGGATTTGGGAAGCTCAGGAAATGTGTCAGAAGAGCGGTCTTCCCTGAATTGTGCACTCCTGGAGTGGCATCACCTTTGAGCTGTGTTTTAGTTAAATCTGGTCCTTCTGAACATCTGCTGGTCACTTGGAAAGTGCAAAGATTTCCCCTCAACTCAATCCATCATTGCATTCTCGTGAGGAGTCCTGTTCCCCTGGAGCACCCATGCGCAACCACCATCCGCCAACACTTTCAAGGGGGAAGGCTGGTGTTACCTGATGAAGCTGGTAAATGAAATGCACCTTCATATGAGTAACACCGCTGCTCTGTCCAGTAAAATGTACTAGGGGCAGGAAAGAGGTAGGAAGGGGACCTTCTTACCTTGGTAGGATATTAAGGCCCATGTCCTAAACGAAACTCTTAAATTCTGTGCTATTGGAAGGTCCTGGCACACAGATAATAAGCATCTTCTTTTCTTCTTTTCCTGTGGTTTGTTTCTTCAGTACTTTAATAAATCTTTAGAGTGTGAGGTATTCTATGCAATATATCTTTAATGGGGGAGTATCTGCAGAAGAACACAGTTACATATTCCACTGTCTAAGAACCTCCGCGGTCTGTTTTGTGTTCCTAAGGCCTTTCCTCAGGCCTGGGTTGTGCAGGATTTGGGTTGTCCGAGCATCAAGTTCACAGACGTTACGTCCAGGCAGAGAGCGTTACTGAGAAGAGCCCAGTGATGCATCCAAACAGAGTTGTCTTTGCCTCGAGCGGTCTGCAAGGAGCTTCCGACAGGGAGAGCACGAAGGAGATTCCACGTTGCGACCCGCGGCTGGATGCAACTCTGTGGTGCAGGGTCCAAATCCGTGTGCTTCAACCCAAACCATCTGGGAAGAGCAAGCTGAGCAAAGCAACACAAACCTGAAGGAGTGACATCAGAACAGACAGTCACTTTATTTCCAGCTGGTCAAGGGCTTCTTCTCTCCTGGCAAATTATGCCTCAGAGAAACAGCAGCAAAACTGTGCAGTAAGGTGACAGCTAGAAAAGAATTTGAACTCCAGCCTTTTCTCCCTCTCATGATCACAACTCGCCACTTGCGGCCTAGCAGGAGAACAGATTTCTTAAGTGACCCTCATCCTCAGATAATGAGGATTCTCAATCGCTCCACCTGCTTGCAGAAGCAGGATGTTCAGCAACTGCACTACTTCCCATCTGCTTTGTCAAAACCCTCAAGATTTCATCCCATCTCCTCATGCTCACGCAGAAAACGTTTTGATCTCATTCGTGTAGCTCAAAACCTGACCTTACTTTCTCCAGCCCAAGTTGGTATCTCAAATATCTCTGTCCTGACCTCCTGTTCCCCAGCTCAAGGCCTCAGTAATTTGAAGTCATCAGATTCTTCCTTGAGATAGTCTATGAGGCAGGATTTTCTCCTCCTTCTGGGGTCAGCAGATCAATATATTCTACATACAAGTGTACTCACACTTTCATCTCACTAAAACCTTCAGCAACTCTCCTGTCATTATCAGGCACAGTTCCCATTTCTTTTAAAAATAAGTATTTATAAACAGAAGGAAGAGATTTGAACTACAATGTTAAAAACGTTCCTGCCAACAGCACGGATGTCTTTTTCAGGTATAGTCATGAGAACAAGCCGTACACCAACACAACACAATGACAGTCTAAACCCCTCTGCTCTCCTTGGGTGCCACAGTCCTTCCACTGCAGGAATCTGCATCTCTGCTCGCAACAACCAACTCTGCATTTCTCCAGGGTCTGTAATGGGCTGCTCAGTCTCCTTTGGTGATGAGGTCCTCGATATACGCATCCAGTTCATCATCTGTATTAATATCAATGTCCTGTAACCAAAAGCACATGAAATGCCAATAAAGAAGTGAATCATGAAGGACAATGTAAGCATGGGAAAAAGTAAATCCTTCCCAAACAGCAACCAAACATCCTCTGCAGCATCAGTCATGACCAGCCTTTAGGTGCTGACTGCCAGCACTCGCCAGGAGCGACGTTTTAGCTCTGCACTTATCTGCTGTGAAAGCACTAGAGGCTTCCCCCTTATCAGAGCTTGGCTGAGGGACGTGGCCTGCAAACCACACGCCCATTTGGTGCTCAAGCAGTACAATCAAGTAATAAACCTATTGTGCTCATTGGGGCCAAGTCAGTACTTCTTTGAGCTATAACACACATTTTCCCAATAGCAAACAACTGCTTCCATCCGCTTTTAACTTTTCCTTTGGGTGGTCTTAATTTCAAGCAGTGTGGCAGAAATTCCCTTCATAACACTTCAATACCATCTGCAGAAAACTGCCTAGGAAATGCCCAGGAAATTTCTCCTGCATGCGCCTGTGTTTCACTGAGTAAAGTAAAAAATAGAAATAGCACATTTAAAGCATGTCATGAGAAAGGTCAGCTATGAATATGAAAACTCATGAGAAATAGACCTAGATCCCAAAGTTTAGGCGAGCACAGCAGCACTTCTAATGGTCTGTGCCCAAGTTAAACTGAACTGAGAACGAGCTGAAGCACAGACAGGACTGAGACATCGCAGGTGTCTGGACTGGGCTCGGGCCGGTGGGGACAGATGCTCGTGCTGAGGCTGCTCTGGTTTGGCACCCTGCTCTCACCCACCTCCTGCACTTTCTGCAACAGGGCCACAATGTTAGTCCTCAACTTCTGCAGCTTCTCTTCTGTTTCCTTCAGCTTTTTCTCTGCGTTGCGGAGATTTTCTTCGCTGGTTTTGGCCCGGGCATCGGCACGTGTCTGATAGGAATTGCACAGGTTCTGCAGACCTACTTCATATTGCTTGAAATATTCTTTCTATAGAAGACAAAAATAAGAGAAAATACATTAGCAAAAAAAAGCACCAGGTGTCAAGGGAACCTCCAGCACATGCAGCTTCTCAACAAATCCAGCTACTGCACACTGCGAGTGAACTACACAGGGCCAGCACTGCTCTCTGGCTAGTCACGACTCCACACTAACATTTCTGATTTGCTTACTGTAAGAAAAAAGAAAAAATCACATAGTTTTTCCTATTCCTCAAAGAGTAGAGCTGCAACAAAAATGACTAGGTTAAGGACGTAGTACTTCTAATAGTGTGAAAGCACAACTATGCTGTCGAAAGAGCAGCACAGCTTCAGTACACAGCTAACTCCCCCAGCACAGCTTGCTGCGAGGTGACAACATCTGCTAGATGCACATTAAAATCTGCACCACAGGGCAACATATTATGTGAAAGCAGCATGCTAAATGGACTAACCAAATCCACAGACAGAGAGTGTGTGTGTGTGCATGTATATATATACATATATGCCATATATACATGGGAGGGAGGAAGAAGGATCCTTTGGTGACTACCAAATACACCAAATCACAGACAGGCACTTCTGCCTCTCTGTATTTTGCCTTTATCTTGTCAGCTTGGTCATCTGGAAATGAAGTGGGGTTGGGTCCTCTCTTACTTCCCCCATTTTTGAGATTGTCTCTAAACTGCATTTATAAGGTTGCAGGCAAGATTAATAGATGCGCCTACATCCCACTGCTAAAAGCCTCTAATCCAGACTGTCTCCTTTAAAATCTTAACAGTAATGGACAAGAAATCAAGACAGCAGCCAAGAGCTTTCTCACACAGCTGCAAGCTTAGAACACCTCTCAGCATCAGACAGTCTCTTTTGGAAGGATGAGGGCACATTCACACCTCTCCACGTGTTCTCAGCTACACTGGTCTGCCAAGGACTCTAATAACCCTTTGAGAGAGTGTGACCTTGCACCCACAGGCTGCACATTTGCAGTAAGAATGGAACGTGTGCATGCGTGTGTGGGGATAAAAACCTCCTTTTTACAGGTGTCCTGGACTCACCAAGGGAAATGCCATCAACTCCTCTGAGCTCATGGAACTCAGCTCCTTCTTGGAAATGGGAAAATTTGGAGGTAAGAAGTACCGCAAACAGTTCCTATACAGGAGGGAAAAAGCCAGAATCTGAGTTTGAGATCCGTTTGAAGACCAAGTCAGACAGCAGCAGCTCAGATGATGCACCCTGAACCCACCGAAGGATTTGCACTAATAAGTCGACTGTTTCTTGGCTGCTGCTGGGCCCAGTGGTGTCTGGCTCAATTCTGGCACAGTCTGAGGTAGAAGGTTCAGCTGCAATAACCTCCTCTTCCTGCTGCGTGTCTGGAGTCTGGTACTCTGGAGAGGGAGGCTTCATTAACCTCACATCCTCACTGCCCTTCTCCACCCTGCAGAAAAAAAAAAAAATCCAAAGGAAGTCACATACCCTTTGCTAAAATCCTGTCCATAGCTCCATCAGAACCTTTACAAAGCCATCACCCTAAAGAAACCTCTAGATTACACAGTGTTTCCCTCCACAGGAACTGTCAAGGTGAGGGGAGACCATCTTGAGCCTGGAGGGTCCATTGGCTGCAGAGCAGCAGGATGGTCCTGAGGATGTGGCTCTCTAAGAGGACAGCAACAGACTGGTCTTCAGTATCTATGGAAGTAAGACAGGATCTTCTACCTGGAAGCAAAACAAGTTCCCCAAAGCCAGCAGCTGCGGATAGTTACCAGCGGTCTCTCGGTGTGGTGTCTGTAGGAACATAATCAAACTTCACCTTCCAGCGCACAGTGTTCTGGCCCAGCTCCACGGCTGTCACACGGCCCGTGAACCACTCCCTGTTCACACGCACCTCCACGTGCAGCCCTTTATCTGAGGGGAGGAACACGTTAAAAGCGTTGGCAAACACTTGGGTTCTGAGAGCACATTTGACATCATTGTCAAGAGAACAGAGACACCCTCAGCTGGGAGCGGACCTAAACTCACAGCAAATCCTATACGTGAAGGTATGAACCATAAAAACTTTGTTGTCATGAAATTACATACCTGCTTTCTCTCAAATAGGACACTAATGAGCTAGGAAACAACATGACATTTTCAGACAGAGGGTTGGATGTCCTGCAGGCCAGGCTGACATGCTTTTTTCAGGCTTGTAGTGGCTGCTAGGACAGTTTTCCAGGCATTCCTCGTGGATCACTTTCCAGCAGCGTTATTGGAATAAGCTGCAGGAACTAAAGGAGCTGCTCTAGCAGAAGATGCAACATCATCCCAGCTTTAATCTTTCGTAGGGGTGTTCCAAACCTCTTTCTCAGCAGTGCAGCACATCTAAACACAGCCCTCAGCATTTCCCTGCTAAGGAAGCTCCACATTCCCCTTGGAAAGGGTGAGCATGATTTGTGTTGCAAACATGACCCTACTCCATGCAGCCGACTACCACCCTAACTAATACAATGCAGCCCTCATTACAGATGAGGGCCTCCTGTTATGGCCTCCTGTTATGTCAAGGGAGTTTAGCCAAACAATTTTGCTTTGTGTGAACTAGAGTAGTCTCAGGCTCCGGGACCTAACTTTATATTAATCCCCAATTTAAAGGTTATTACTGAAATCACATGTTTAGCTGGTGAGCAAGTTCCGCAACACCCATCCTTTCCACCATCCTAGATACTGGAGGGGTATCCAGGTTCATTTCCCACCTTTCTGAGCCTTCTTCAGCTCTGCTAGCTCCTCTTCTCCTGCGCTGTCCGTGAGCTGCAAGCAGAGAGCGCTCAGATTAGGTTTTTCCCCAGTAAGATTATGAACGCTGTCAAATACCTTCTGCCGGGGAAACCCTGCAGTTCTCACCTCCACCACCACTTCACTTGATTCCTTCTTCTCCTCTTTCAATATCACATATTTGCCTCGTTTAGTCGTCCTCTTCTGCTCCACGTCTTCCTCAGACCCATCTTCTGTGGCATTTAAAGTCCTTTTCCGCGTGGTGGAGGCCTGCAGGAAACAAGCAAGTTGTGGCTGCAGTTCAAGTATGCCAACAACCCACATTTTCCTTTGGTCAAATAAGAGAGTACTCAGCATCAGTTGTCCTCAGCTGAGAGCTTAGGTCAGTTTTTAAAGGTTTTGGTATGTGCCATGTGACAATATAAATGTTCATTCCCACCATCCCACACGATATTTATGGCTGGAGAACCAGCCTGGTCTCACAGGGATGGGATGAAGCAAGTTTTCACAAGGACTTTCCTGCTCAAGTAATACAGGGCAGACCCCATGTGAACAGGGCAAGACAAGCCATGCAGAACAGCAAGAAATGAGATGCCAGTTTTCATTCCGGATTCTCACCTGGGTAGATCTGACAGCAGCTGATTTCTTTCCTGGCACTTTTGTGGTTTTGGGACTCGATGTCTCGCGTGGGCTCTTGGGGCTCTGTGGGACGGTGGAGGGGGACTTTGCTGCTGCTCCTGATTTGGCATGAGTTCTTAAAGTGTTGTTGGACTTGCCAGCTGTGCCAGTGTGCTGGGGTGTCCTGGAAGTACCGGCCTCCTCCTTGGAGGACACGCTGGCCACTTCGGGCGTGCTAGTGCTTGGCTGAGCTGGAGAACTCTTTTTCTGCTGACTGGAGGACTTTGGAAGAGTCTTGGACGAGGGTGGTCTGCTGGGGGCGTTTTTAATTATGTCAGGTAAAGGAGGAGATCGAGGGCGCTGCGGTCTGGTCAGTGGCCGAGTGGTCTGGAACAAATGTGGATAGAGGACAGGGAAAAATGGAAGTCTGGCTTGGTTTTGCATTGCAGGAGAGTAAAAAGACTACAGTGGCATTGCAGCTCTAGCATTTACCTCTCCTGCAGGCCGTGTGGTCACCTCCAGAGGCAGTTTCTTTAAGTCAGCTTGAGATCGAATTGGAGTGGTTTTCTAAAAGACAATCAGGAAGGTTATCTTTAAAAGCTGTCAGTACTTGCTTGTACCGAAGCACCTAAACAGATTCCCAGTTTAAAATGAAGGCTTCTGCTGCGCTGCCAGACACATCCTTTCACCAGGGCATCAGCAGTCAACACCTCTTCCAAACATAATGTGCAAGCTGAGATGCTTCTTTCCTGCTATTAAAACCACCCCACCCATTAATGCCACACAGCACACGTAGTATTAGAGGCTGAGAATCATTACTCAGCCTCATCCGTTTGCATTAGGAGGTCCCTCAAAGTTCCACTTAGCTGGAAACCTCCTGATTCACCTGCAGAGCTTCCAGCTTCTCTTGCTGCTGGCGGATCTTCTCTGACAGTTGCTTCTGCTTTTCTTCTGGTGACTTCAAATCTTTCTTCAGACTTCCCAGGGGCACTTTCTGCTTCTGCTCTGCAGCTTCACATCTGGCACCAAAAGAATACAAGACAACCTCAGCAAAGACTGAGAAGTCTTGAAAGTCCCTCACACACTATCCTGTTTGTGGTGATTTTCGTTTTATTTACAAAGGAAAAGCTTATTACCAGCTGCTTGCAATTAAGTTGTGTTGCACCCTTCCTTCTAAGGGTGCAACATCTTCCTTTGCAAAATATCTATAGGGGTATTTATTGCTCTCATCATGTTTTATTTATGGCATACAAAATAGTAAGTACCCTACTAGCTCAGGTCCTGTCAGAATCCTACCTGGAACAGACCTTGAGAGAGAAGGAAAGAGGGGCATAGGAGATAAATGAAATTATGGACTTCATGTCTAAAACAGGGTTATTAAGGAGTGTCCTTTAAGAGCACAGCCCTGGCATGACTCAAAATCACTGATGTTAAGCAGGTCCCCTGTCACTAATTGCCTGAGTTGCACATCAGCAGGATTGCACCACTGTCCTGAAACCTGCCCCAGCCTTGGGGCAGTGCCACACCGTGCCAAGGCAGCTCCCCAAACTGCAGCCCTGCACCCTGCTGCCACCGAAGCCACCGGGGCTCTCAGCACTGCCACGAGTGCTAATCAACAGCCACCGCATGGGGAAAAGACCCTTGGGCTCCTCTGCACCAGGACCCGAACTGGAAGATGATCCAGGAGCATGATGAGCTCTAAAATGAAACAAGCCGAGCCTGACAACACACGAATTATACTTCCAGTCAGAAGAAAAAAAAATGGAGCTAAGAGGGAGCAGAGTTAGCTCATCAGCTCGGAGGGAAATGCAGAAACACAGGGACTGCAGGAAGGGACAACCTTCCTGCAAGGAAACCCTCCTACCTCATGTGAAGGACATCAGTACCCTCTCACCATCAGGAAGGGCATGTCAGCCTGCTCAATGCAAAAATGCTCTTGCGCTCAGGATTCTCCCAGAGGGATAATCATAAGATTCCCCCTTTCAAAGCAGCAGAAATCACCAGAAATTGAGATCACCTCTCTGGGAATCTTATCTGTGCCTACCCTCTTCCCAAAAGGAGGATTTGGTTACGATACCAAGTGTGCAAACACTGTGTGAGCATCAAGTTCAACTCCCCAGTAAAGAACACATGAATGCAGAATATCCTCTCCAAATCTCACCATTAAAACATCCTAATTAAGACTAGTCTTCCTGTCCATGGACTTTAATACTTTGATTCCAGCAAGCCTGGTTACCATCCAGTAACTTTTCCCTTTGGCTTTAAGCATTGAGCCAAGGCACCTCAATGACAGCCTGATCCGCTTGCTTCTTCATTCAGTTAGGATATGAACGAAATTCTGCCAGTATCGTTTTGCACAGGAAAAAAGAAGGAGCCTAGAGCAATCACATTTCTCAGAAATCAGTAGATTTCACCTAAATTTTATATATTTATATATTTTATTAAAAGGTATATATTTTATATAATTTTTTACTTTTTAGAAATATAATATTTTTTATAAAAATCTATATAAAATATAAATGTTATAATTGTGAAATCTGCCTTTGGCATACAAACTGCTGTGCTTTTCTATCAGCTCAGTCTTTGTTGGGCTCCCTGCAGCTCAGAGGCCGTTACTGCAGTCCCAGTTTGTGTTCATTAGGTTACAGCAACAGCCTGTTCTTATTCTTTAATTGCTGTCTAGACTGCCTACATAATAGTTTATGTGGATAAAATAAGGCTGCAACTGTATTTCCAGTGACTACCAAAAAAAAAATCAAAACAAAAAATCCCATACATAAAGGAACTTAATTTACTCCGTCCATCCTGGTGATTATGTCAGCTCATACAGTGTGGCAACACCTATGTCACCAACACTCACTCTGGGAACAGTTCAGTCTACAGCTACAAAGTGTTCAGCTACCCCCTTAAATTATCCTAAAGGAAGAGATGACCAAAAAATACAGATAAGGAATGCAGCAGAAAATCCCTGTATCAGCCCACTCTTACCTGTCCTGTTCAGGATCAGGGTTCATGGAGCACACCCAGCTGTCAGGATAATTCTTCTCCACTGAACTCAGCTGGAATGGGAGTGTCCGCCACTTCAGACACACATCTGTGCAAGTCAGAAATGCATCTTAAGCCATAAAATCAGAACTTTTATACAGCACTCGAGTCCATTTAGCACTCAATGACAATATTAATTTCCAAAGAATATCTAATGACAGCAGGGCTAGTGACAAGGAAAAGGTAGGAAATGAGACACAGCCACAGGCCGCTGTAGCTCTTACTGGATTACAAAAGTCAGATCTGTCCATGACAGATTTAGATGTCCCAGGTTAACACACGGATTTGGCTTCCAGAGCATTATATGACAATTGGGAAAACATTCGTGTAAAAATGAGTTTTGTCTAGAAAATACAAGTATTCTCAATTCAGACTCTGGAAAGACTTTACAGGCCCTGGCAGATGTCAACAGAAGACTCAGTGAATAATGGCAAAGTTCCTCTTACTTCGGAATAACTTGGAAGGGGTGAGGAAATTGTCAGGATATGAAAACCTGATAAAAGACTGACCATTTCCAAAAGACTAGTGCTCAGATTGCTTGCTACACCCTCATCTGCATCATTGGAGTTTGGTCTTCACCAAAACACAAAGTGGCTGTGCTGGCACCTCCCTTCTCCCAGAGAGGTTGGCAAGAGCCATTTCAAGGTGCGCAAGAACTCACATGACGTGTGAAAGGCTACTCTAAATGATTCCCTTCTGTGCTCATATCTAGTGTTCCTCAATAGCCCAGTTCATCAAAAAAGGAAGTTTCTGATCTTATTTTAGCTTAGAGACGAGTGCCTTTGGTCAGTCCCAGCTGTGAAAAAGCACAGCTAAAGAACATCACGAACGTGGAGGGGAGGAACCTTATGGCAGGATGTCCAATGCCATGAGGCGCAGGCAAAGGGCACTCACAGCAGGAGAGAGGCCCTCTAAGAAGAGGATCTCGGAAGCCTCCTACCATGAGCGTCCCCAGACCCAGCCTCAGTGAACACTCTCCCTCCTCAGTGAAGGGCAGCCTCCTGCTCAGACTCACCGCACTGGATCGTGGTAGGGATCTCCATGGCTCTGCGGCGCTTGTAGCGGAGTTCACTAGAGGGAGGCTGGTTCCAGTTCGCTGACAAATAACCAAATTCATCCCAGAACTTGATGATACCCCTCTGGGCTGCAAAACAAATGAACAATTGCCCATGCATTGTGGAGCCATAACCACAAAAAAAAAAAAAAAAAAAAAAATCACCTTTTTTCTTGGCTGCCCTCTCCCTTGATAATTCCCTTCCAGCTGCCAGAGTTTTCCCTTCCAGCCCCTAGTAACTGTGAAGGGGATGAAGCAGCTTTCCTACCTACGGCAACGTCCTTCCAGTACTGAGCCAGGTGCTCTCCCATGGCCTTCAGCAAGTGCCGATACTCCTTGGCATCGGCAAAGTCTTGTTTATTATGGGTTGGCTCCAGGACCAAATAGGGCACGTCCACCACACCGACCACTCCACCACAGGCCCTGAAAGCAGACGCACAGTTACCAACACGGCCAAGCTCTGACGGGGCCACACGGCCTGTCCAACGGCCAAAGCCATCGGAGGCAATACTGAAGCAGCAGGTTATGCCCGTGCAGTACCATATTTCAGTTATCAGCTTTCTAAACCACTCAGATTTGGGCCGGCATTCCAAAAACACACCCAATGTGGGGTCAACCACCTCCTTTGCTAGACTGATCACAGATAAGTTGGGCTATTGACAACAAGTAAGTATTGCTACCTGTGTTCACTGTCAGCCCACGGAGGGAGTGTTCAGATTGAGCACAACAGTTTTATACTGCTGCAGGTATGAGCAGCATCTTGACAGAAATATTTTTTTTTTCTTTGCAGAACATTAGAAATATTGGACAATATATTTCAATATGTTTTGTTAGACTCTAAACCTTTTCACTAAAAGATAACAAAATGACTGAAGCCTCAAGCTCACAAAGAATGACGATAATTCCTTACAGGAATAAGTTACTGCACAGCCTAAGTCACATATAAGAAAACATCAGGCTTAAACAAAGATTGCTAAAAAATCTCCAAAAACTCACATGCCACCCTCCAGCTGGGGGCCCACCTTCTCATACATCTTTATGAGTCGACTGCAGTTATAAATGAACATGCCATCCAACTCACGCTGCTCAATATTCACACCAAAGATAAAATTCAGTTCTTTGGGTTCCTTCAGTGCCCTGGAATAAATCAAAATAGAGCTTCAGAGATGCAGCACAGAGACTAGATCAGGCTAGGGTCCATCTGTTCAGCTAACTGTTGATCTGCATACCCCTGCTCTTTCATAAATGGATTTTGCTTATTTCAGAATTATTTTTTTCCAAAAAAAATTTTGACTAGAGATTTATAAAAACACTATTAGGTACAGACTTATGCCCTCCAATGTGAAGCATAAATTTGGTTAGTATGTTCTAGATGGGTACCTCTACACTGCAAAAAAACACAGAAATTAGGATTTGGATATAAAACTCCCATCTCAATATTTAGATTCTGGAGAAGTTCTCAAAAGTGCAAGTTTTGTAAACTCAATTGCACCAAGCCCCAAAAGCTGGGGGACTGCAACACATAAGCGAAGCAGAGATTTTCTCTTCTCAAGATACCAGGACAGCAATTTGCACGACTCCTGCCTCACCTGTTCCACAGCTAACTAATAGAAGTTGGTCTCTGTTCTGCTCGTGAGCACATGAGAGTTTCTGAACTTGCCTCTTTGATTTTCTGGAATTGTAGCTCCAGCAATAGAGAAATCCTTAATAGACTTAAATCTCTGTGATATAAAAAAAGTATTTTATAAACAGAACTGCTGCTCTGTTACAGACTATGTTCAAATTATGTTCCTTAGCTTCTCTCAGATCCCTGTTAAGCATTTTTTACAACGAGATTCTTCCACTTTAGCCTGAAGGTTGCAGCAAACACAAGCCTCAAACTTGTAACAATTACAAGTCAGAGTCAATGCCACTGTTCTTCTCATTCCTCTTATTTTTGACTTCCTATTTCTATTTCTTAAAGTTTGCAACACTTACATGCTTTATCCCAATTAGGAATTTGGCCTCTCTTAAAATGAGCAATTGAAGATATTTTAAATTCTTTAAAATGATCTGTTGACTGTTTACTGCAAATATCATAGTAAGAGAAACCAAAATGCATATCTGCAACAACCTATATGGTAATCTGCAGTTATACGATGGAGGTCTCTCAACGTTCAAGTATCTCAAAATAAATCCCTGAAATACTTTAATTTCACGTTTATTATTTCGTTTTCATAAAATGCTTTTCTTATACAAATGTATACAATCCCCTGCCACAAATTCCTCTAAAACTGAAGTTCCTTCCTACAACTGTAAGGGCCCCCAAACTGAACCACAAAGATTAGAAAGCCCGAAATCATGAGGCAGCAACATTCCTCCTACTCTGCTGCCATATGTTGGGATTTACCTTGTATGAAAGCAAAGTTCAGAGACGTGTCTGTACAGGGATGTGTGGAAGAGGGACATTCAGCACAGCAGGCCTGATGCGCTGGTCTACAAGAGGTGTTCAGCAGAACAGAACCTATGTGCTGGTTTGCAATAACATTTTTTCCTTTTTTATTTTTTATTTTTTTTTTTTTAACAACAGACATCCAAAAATGTCTGTTTTGTTAGCAGAAAGCACTGCCACCTAGCTAGTGTCCAATCAGTCACTCCGTAAGCAGCTATGGACTCAGAGATTATTCTTTCCATGATAACCAACTTACTGGGAAGACACTTGGAACAGCAGCTTTCACTAACCTTAAACCTACATGTTTGCTAAAATGTGTTTTGAACCCTGTCAATAGGGAAACAGGGCTGGAAAGGATCACTTGGGTCTCACCTGATCGAGGTGGACAACTTGGGGCCAAACCATGGACCATTCCTACCTCAGGCAAGGGATTGAGGCTAGTTTTCTAAATTTTGGTGAAGGATGCAGGGCTTAAACCTCATGTAGACATGTGCAATCAGGAAAACGAATTATCTTCCAAATCTAACTGAATTAAAATTGAAAATTAAAATACAAATCCCAGGCAGTTGCCTATGATTATTAGGGCTGTACTATCTGCTCCATCTGCTGGAGTCATCACCTGAATGCAAATTGGCTTTGGGAGCCTTAGACAGCATTTGTTTCAATAACACACACGACATCAGAGAAACAGTAGAAAACTGTCCTACGGCATCCTCTGAAACTCAAAAACTTGAATTTGAACCAGTATCTACAGCTCTTTCAGGAACTTCTTTTGTTTTCTAAAGTGGAAGATTATGAAATAGTCTAACCCTTTGAGAAACCAAAGATGAATGAATCTAAATCTGAATATATATATAGTTCATCTCTCTCTCTCTCTATAAGGGAATATATATATGATATATATCTATATATTTGGATTTATGTATATATCTCTATGCTTATACATGGAAATATATCTATATATTTAGATTAGGACAAAGGTTTTCCCTTTGTTGTTAGCTGCCTACATCTATTCTCATCACATATTTGACACTTCGCTAAATACAATCTTTTGGAATACTTACTAGAAGGGTTTTTCCCAACCAAGAGCTCATTCAGATTTTGGGGCCTCCATATTCTTAGAATTAAGTAGCAAGACCCGTTGAACAAATTTAATTTCATTTTCTCACTCCCGTTATAGACACTAAAGGGCACACAAATGCTATCCTCAAACTTAAAGCTCTACGTTCACCATTGAGCTTTTTGAAGAAAAAATGTTTCCTCATTGAAAGAAGGGTGGAAAGCCATTCACAAGCTGTTACTGCATGCAGTAATAGAAACTAAGATTTAAAAGATGAGTTATACACATGGAAATGGAAGAAAATGACGTCTCAGTTTCTACATTCTCCAGGTCATATCTCTACTACTTTTGAGTTCAAATCTTTTTCTTTTCCCCTCTTCCCATGAACATCAGAGGCATTAGATCCATCTCTAGGATCAAGCCTGGGAAGCTCTGACCCAGGCATGCAGGAAAATCAGCATGCAAAACACACTGTGGGATATGTATATAAAATGACATGCAAATCCCATTTTTTCCCAGACTCGGTGTTTAAGAAATTGAGTTCCAAGCTATGAAATACATAGGATAAGTCTGCAGAAAAAATTGCATACAAAGTGAAACATCCCTGAGAGCATGTGAACAGCAAACTTAACTCATTACAATTATTTCTTTTGATTTCACGGTATGGCCTACAACAGAATTTAACAAGTTTTTAGAAAATCATTTCTGCTCCTCTAAAAGGTAAAAAGAGGCAAAACTCAAAGACTTCATTCAGCAGAAAAAGGGGAAACAGCAAAAGCAGCCGGAGGAGCAAACCCGGGAGCGCCCCGGTCGCGGTGCCGAGCAGAGCCGCCGCGCGCTCACCGCTGCTTCGCCTCCTTCATCCTCCTCTTGACGTCGGCCTCCCTGCGCAGCGCGATCGCCGTGTTCTGCGCTTGGCGCAGGGTCACCTGCAGAGAGAGATCGCACAGCAAAGCTAAGATTAACTCATTTCTGCATTGTTCCCATTTCTGGAAGATCACAGGAGCATTTTAAATGTCAAGAATTCATTAAGTGAAGGGCAATAATTAGCAACCCTTTACATTTAAAGCAGCACCTGTTGCTAGATCATTTAAACAGCTACACAGTTAACTGGAAGAAAATGCCTCTTCAACAGCAACCACAGGGAACTGTGATTCCAGCGGTGCAGCCAAAAACATTCAAATGCTGTTTTTTTTTTTTTTTTCTCTCTCATTACATCTCACTAAACAGTAAAGTGGTTTTAAGCAAATGTTACTTGCTGAACCATCCGGCTTTTCCCGAAATCCTTCCTACCTTCCACCTCCTGGCTAGATCCAAGCCAAGCCTCAAACACCTTTCAAGAGCCTGTACTATCACCACAAGCTCTGGCTCCACAGGGAAGGAAATAAAAAGCAAATATGCCCAAAAACCCACCACCCCAAAGCTCTTGCAACAGTTTGGGAAAGCTCAAGAGCAAAGTGCAATGGACATAAGAGGGAACTGACCAAAATTATCCGATTTTATTTCTATTCAAATACTTCACATTCCTCATGCTGCCTCTTCAGGGAATGGTAGAAACTAAAGTATCTTTGCAGTAAGACTCCAGCACTGCTAAAGAGCTGCCTTCCCAACACAGACATGCTGCCGTGCGTGAGCACCGCAGTGCCAGCACATTTTCAGTCAAAAACACTCACCAACCTGTGCATGTCCTGGGGTCACAAACCATGGAGCTGCCTCGGCCTAAACACTGCTGGAATGTATCTCCAGCAGGGGCATTTGCTCTACCTGCACATCACAGGTGATCAGCACAGCTCTCTGCTCCAAAACAACAGGCAGGAACCTTCCTCCAGCACTTAAAACTCACTGGAAAGGCAGGAGCCTCACCCTGGATTCCCGCGCGAGATCCCCTCCCAGGCGCAGTTCCAGTGCTCGGGCTTTACTTTCTGCCTCTCGAGCCTTCTCCTCCGCTAAAACACAAGGGAAAAATGTATTAATCACACAGAAAAGACACCACACTGTAAGGCATTCACTTGAGTCAAGAGATTTCCAGAGGGCCCTTGCTGGATTTACCTCTACAAGGGAGAGGTGACAAAGGCAACGCGAGGAGGATAAAATAAAGTCTGACGTAAAGAGAGGACATTTCATCAGAGGTTGCAGTCAAAGCTGGCACAGTAACAGGTCTAAACCCTGCAAAGGCAGGTTTAAGGGAAAGATCCATGAGGAAGATGGGGGGGGAGTGGAAATGATAAGGATGCACGTGGCCCTGCCTGGTCTGCAGAGAAGCAGAGAGGAAAACCTCACACCAAGTTCAGACTTGAGAAGGAAGCACAAAGAGGCAGTTCACTTGGCCAGACGATGAAGGGACTATCCTGAGAAGCAGTTTTATTTTTGATAATCACTTCATTTTGCCTGAAGGAAGCCAAATTTGGGCTACGCTTAAAATAGGACCTAGTGCTCTGAAAACCTACCACTCACTCTGATCTCCAAGTTCGGCACTGAGAGAAATTCTTTCTCTTTCAGACTATCCAAAAAAAAAAAAAAAAAAAAAAAAAAAAAGAAAGAAAACGTGACAGGAGGCATGCACCAATTCCAAAACACCTTGAGCAGTCACTCGAGAACGCTCCCAGGGAAAGTGGCCCAGGGAGCAGCCCTCCATCCAGGCCGCAGGAAGGTGGCAGCAGGGCTGCAGCCACATGGTCTGAGCGCTTCCCTCCCGGTCTCCCAGCAGATTCCGGCTGGAGACACCCAGAGCAAGGAAACAAAGCAGCGGAGCAACAACCTCCCTGATGACACACAGCACCTGGGGAGCTCATCAGTGAAAAAGCCACCATGCCTTAAAACTCCAAGACTCTTCCTACCCTATGGGATTTGTCCATCAGGAATGGGAGAGGCTGCTTTGTGTGTTAAATTTATGCAAGTCTAACAAAGTTATTTGTTGTATTTTACATGCTTATGTAATGCCTATGTGCTAAGATATCCAACAATGTCATTTTATTTCCTCTGAAAGCTACAGAACTTGAGAAGATTGGGCAGACAAAACATGCCTCAGAGAAAGCAGGATGCCCTTGTGCATGCAGAACAGTCACTGTATTAACTGATAAAATAAAAATCTAGTTTTGAGCGACAGCCTCAGCAGGGAAGGAACAGAAAGAAGGGGAGGAAGCTGCTACTGATACATAAAACCTGGGGGGGCAGAACTGTGGGCTAACAAGGAGGCAGCTTAGCAAGGCTCCATGTATAGCAGGGGGAAAACCTGTAGGGATTGTCCTGGATATCTGTTCCGCAGAGGAAGTGGTCTTAGGGAATGATGCAAGTTCTCCCAGTGCGGTAAGACTGGCTCATGTGGAGTTACACTATAAACAGACTTCCTGGACATTCCCAGCAATCAGAAAAGCAAACAATGTGGGGTCCTATCAGCAATGTAGGCTCTTTCTCTACAGTAAAACCAGGATTCACGCATACCCCGAGGACTCACCGATCCTGGCCATGTGCTCTGCTTTCTTCACCTCTTGCTCTGCACGGGTCTTGAAGCGGTTTGAAGTATATTTGTACATCCTGTAATGACCAAAACTTACTCATCAGCAACACCTCAGCAGTCAGGTCACACCACGATTTGATCATCCCATAGGAAACGGCGTCTCCACACGCTACTCTGCTCTTCTCAAAAGATTCAATAAGGGGAGAATGAGGTTGAGTAACTGGGTGTATTGGTTTAGCCAAAGTTTAAGGCAGAGATGCTACAGCAGTAACAGCCATCACGGCACCTCCATTTTCCTAGGTGACCTGGGTGCAACATATCCCATGTTCCTGTTGAAAATCCCAAGGTTAAGAGGACCAAACTCTTTAAAAGTGGCAAGGTGGAGTAAATGTATTTGGAAACCTTCTCAAAATCCTCCCCTTAGAGATCAATAACACTTTCTATCTCAAACAACTGTCCAAATGTGCAGTATCACAGTGCTCGTCTCCAGGCAGTGCCTCTCAGCCCTGCAGCTTACCTCTAAGAGGAGCAGATCTTCAGAGAAAACTGAGCACAGAATTGATTTCTCAAGAGCTCCATCCCAACGGGAAGCTTCAGAATGGCTTAACGTTTAGCAAAGGCCTGAGCAGACCTTCAATCCTTGTTCTGAAGTTTCAGGACGCTTTCCTACGCCACCCAATCTGCTTACAGCCCTGCTGACCACGCTGGAGCTGCATGGGCTTCGGCCTCTTTAGATTGGATCAACTACAGATCATGACCTAACTGTAGGTATCTCAACTGAGAGGAAGCCTCAGAAGATGTGAAAGGCCCCGAGTCCATCCCAAATTCCAACCCCCAACAAAGCTTTCTAGAAAAAAAGAAAACCTCTCCTGCCCACAGTCAAAGTGCTTATCCCTGGAAATGTTTCCACAGCAACGGGGAAGCGTATAAGGACTTAAGGCTTAACTGGCCAACTCACTGACGTAGCAGGGATCACTTTTAGATGGCAGTAAGAGACAAGATCTCTCCAAACTGCCGATAATCCATCAAGACCTATAACTAACCACACTGCATAGATGAAAAAGGAGTTAGGTATTTTTCTATGGGTGGTTATATACAGATGTAATACAGATGTCAAATAGTCTAATTATCAGAAAACCTTTATCCCTAAATTCAGAAAGTTTACATCATAGTCAACTTGATTGCACAAATTGTGCACTAGATGCACAAATGTCATCTGGCACATAAAAGTTGTTAACTGCAAGGTATTTTCTGCTATTCATAAGGCCCTGCTTATTGGCAAGATATGCAGATAGGCACCAATTCTTCCAAGAAATATCAAAAACACTGTTAGGAGAAGGAAAATTGGGTTTGGGGTGGTGCAATCTCTTCAAATTCACTTAAGGGTGATTTAGACTACCTGGGCCAAGACACAGAACACGTCCTGAGAACCAGAGCTGCCTCCAACATGTTGGCACAAATAGATTGCCTCATTCGCACCCAGCCTTCCCGAGCACAAACAGGAGAAACAGGGTGAAGGTGAAAGGCCTCAACATGCCCAGCTTCCGAGGCAGCGAAGGGCCGGAGCTGCTGCCTGCCGAGCAGAGGGGCAAACAGCTCCTGGATTTTGTACCCAACTGCTGGCAGCAGAGTGATGAATGTGAGGAATTCCCAGCCCTCCCGGGTGCACCGCCAGCCTCAGCTGCCTGTTGGGTGTCCAACAACCCAGGACGTGAAGCAGAGGGACCACCAGCCCCTAGAGCTGATTCCAGAAACACCGTGCAGACCGCGTCAAGAAGGAACAACCCAGACATCAGTGTTTTATGGTCTCTTCCAGTGCCAAAGGCAGCACAGCCAGGAAAGCCCATGTTCAAGCGGTTTGGAATAGCGGTTCTAGCAAACGAATCTGTAAACAGGGCAAGATGGATCTCGTTTATCTTCTCTGTAGGCCAGATTCCAGCACGATGTGACAGCCCCCCTCATCCTGCAGACACTCATTACAGCTGTCCTAGCACATCCTTCTCAAAAGAGGCTCTTGCACGTGCTTCAGCAAATCCCAGCAACGGCCAAGGGAAGCAAAAGAGCAGAGAACTGCAGCAACAGCAGCACTGGATGCCCGCTACAGTCTCCGACCTTTCAGTTATTTGAAGATAGCATCAAGGCTGACGTGCAAAATAGCATGACTACATTCAGCTGCCCTGCTAAAGCTCACGCAGTCACGGTGGGAGGAGAGGTGAAAAATCCCTCAAACTGCAAAAGCAGCTCTGGGGAGGGAGGCAGGGCACAAGGCAAGAGCAAACTGGCACAAGAGCAGCTTGCCCCCAACGGCAGGGGCTAAAGGTTCCAGAATGGCATCAAGGTGCTAATGTCAGGTTCAGAGAATCTCCCCTCTAAAAACATATTTTATATATATATAAAAAAATCAGAGTCCTTATGTCACTTCAGGATGGTTGTATTAATTGTATTAAATGGCAGTACACGCAAAATCCAGTAAGCAGATGGATATGGGAATGCATGAGCTCTAGCTTCAACTCTAAGGTGATGATCCAGGCACAAGCAGCCTTTCTCATCAGGTTCAGAAAAAACATAAGAAATCACAAATAGCTGCAAAGAAATAGTAACTTTGTCCACAGAATGGACTGGTTTGCCATTTCCCCTGAAACACGTCCTGGGAAAGAGACACCCAGGGGAGAAGAACTTCTGCGCATGCATCTGAAGGAGAAAGACCGAGCCTTGACAAGCTGTGGCACAAGGGCTGCACCTACCAGAAGCGCCACGCTGGTTCTCAGAACCAACACGGAGGGCGGGAAGGTGCCAGTGGCTCATCCCAATGACCATGTGTCTTCTGGTATCCCCACGTCGCGCGAGGGGCAGGAGATGAGAAGGAAACTCCAGCACACTGCCCAGAAGAGCCCAGCAGGGTTACAGCTGCCCTGTGCAGAGCCCTGCAGCACTCTCAGACCTGTTCACAGTCTCTGCTTCTGAGCCACAGAAGCAGGAGTTTCAGGTGCTCCAAATGTGACTCACTTGACAGCTGCCCAACAGGAAGGTGCTACTCTCCAGAAACAAGGAAAAGCAGATCCAGAAGTGATGACGGGGACCCTGACCAACTGCTGTTTGAAGTGTCTAAGACGACTGTCTCTTTCCAAGAGAGAACAGTCCTAAGGTGTAGAACAGAACCAAAACCTACACTCCTTTCCAGGCATTACTACCAACCACTCCTAGAGAGACAAGACTGGGACAGATGAACCTCTGGTGTGACCCAGGACATGTCATCCTATCGTGAGAAGGCAGGCAGTGAGGAAGCCCTGTCTTCGGATCTCAGAAGCCAGTCTCTGATGAGGTAAAAGCCTCTGTCTTCCTCCTTCGCTCTCCCTCCCTGGTCCTTTTTTGGACTGTGGCATAGAATAAAGCAGGCAGAAACTCACGAGCACAACAGATTCCCTACGCAGGGAATGAGGATTTAGCAGGAGCAAATCATGGACCAGTGTAACTGCCCTCTACAACAAAATGTCTGGCCAGGGCAACTTGGCGGGAGCTGGGATGTGATCCCCCTTGCCTCGTAAGGCTTTGATACTGTTTTTCCACATTCTCACTTAAAAAGCTGGAGAAATATGAATTTGGTAGACCACTAAGCAAGCTGAAAATTGGCCAAGCTCAAAGGACAACTGGTGGTTTGACATGTGACTGTGGGCAGTAACAAGTACCCTGCAGGGGATATGGAATCCACACTGTTCAGTACAGCCCCAAAAGTTTGATTTTGAACAGTCAGTATCTTCACTTTTGTGTTTGCTTTCAAAAGGAGCCAAATTCCACAGGTAACTGGTGCAATTTTCAAAAGCACTAGATTTTCCAGCAGCTACCCCCTTTCCTACAATGTTCCCATGCTACCCCCTTCTCCCACTCTGTTTCTGTAGCTTTAGCAGGGCATTGCACAGGATAGTAACCTGGTGAGCAAAACAGCGACTCTTCTACAAGGAAACACTCAGGGTCTGGGTCCCGACACTCACCTCGGCTTGTACAGGCAGCACGAAAGTCTCTTGGTTTGCACCTTGTGCCCGTTGATGAAGATGCGCATCCTGGGGTCGATGTAGAGCACCGCGGCGTAGGCGCGGAAGGAGCGGCGCTCGGGCTTCCTGCAAGAAAGCAGCCTCGGAAACCAGGCCGTTTGCACAGCAACTCCTTTGGGGATTAGCAGCAGACCTACTTTCCCAGCTGGGCCACACAGCCCAGAAGTGATGACATCAGCTCATCCCTTGAGTCATCCCTCCCTCGAGACGTCACCTTTGTCTCCTGTGGTCTGGATTCCTTTTCTCCTTCACCTCTTTTCCCTTTGCTCCTCTCCAATTTAAAGGAGCCCTGATAAAATCCTCTCTCCAAATCAAATGAATGAGCTTCTCCCCTCACAAGACCTACCAGAAGCTCAGACCCCACCTGGTCAGCAGAAATGCTCCCCTGCCCCAAACCCCTCATGCTGATCAGCACCGTCCCTGCACTTGGACACCTATGGCAGGATTCATTTCGCTCAACTTCACGCGTTACTGGCTGAGCTTTTAGCATGAGTCTCCCTTTAAAATCACTGGAAATCTGAACACAAGCAGCTACTTCAGATTTACCAAAGTTAAAACTGCAAGCAAGAGAGCTATGTGAAAGTTTGATTTTCATCACCATGTGGGTAGAATAAGCGTGGCTTTTCTTTCATTTCCTCACTTGTACCTTCCACAGGGATTTTTAAAGCTATATTTTAAATACAGTGACAAAAGATTTCCATGCACTTATTACTGCAGCTTAAACAAGGTCTGTGGTTATAGCTGGATAATAAAAGCACATCTTGCCAAAGAGTGTGTTCAAGCTGTAACCTGGAGCACCGAGCACTAAATCAGCACCAGCATCCCGAGTCGCTGGAGGTAAGAGTGCACTCCAAAACTGCCCCCATCAAACAGACAGTATCAGCAGGTTGGGGACATGGGCTCAGTCTGGTAACAGTGATGACAAAACCAGTGTGTCTTCAATTGAGAAGCACATTTGATCCCCACCGGTCCTCCAGGAGTTGCACCTTTGTGCTCAATAACATGAAGCCATTACATTCAGGAATAACCAGCTCCCTGGTGTCCAAACCTGCACTTCTGTAGGAAGGGAGCAATATAAGGAAAGAGCCCATAATCTTACAAAAAGACCAAAAGTAGGGTAAACAGAGCTCTGGGATTTAATCAATCATTTGGTTGTTTTAGCCTAGTTTCTCCTTTTCTTTCCAGGCTGCAAGCGAACAGAGCTTCCAGAAGGCTCAGAGCAGAATTCCTCCCCGATGAGCTAAGCAAACAGTCGGTTCTGGCGGAACAGAGTCCTCTGCTCCTCTGGCTGCCCTCTGGGCACATCCTTCCCCCTCCCCCTAAAAGGGGGCAAGGAGCTACCCCTATACCCCAGAAGGACACTCATGCTTTGATGGGTCTAGAAAATTAGTTCTGTAGCTCAGGGCTCCCTTGTTCTACAATAGCTAAGAGTACTTTGTTGGCTGCTTTCACTGGGCTGAGACAAGCCAATGCAGAAATGCCCACCAAGAGCACTACCAAAAGTCCGTGAGCTGTTTGTAACTATGAAATCAAAGGAGAAAAAAAAAAAAAAAAAAAAAAACCCTCCTAAATTCTCCAACTCACACTCAGTAAAAGAGTTCTAAAAAACATAAGCAAACACAATGTACCCAGCAAACCCTAAATGTCATTTCATGCCAACAGCTGTAACAGGAGCTCCACTTACGTTCCCTCTGGCGGGGTTTCTGCCATCTGAATGTCCCAGGGGTCAGAAGTCACATCCAGCTCTGGCTCTCCATTATCCATTAGTTTGAGGTTAAAGATGATGACCAGGGTGCCTGAGTAAGCAGTAAAGTTCCTCAGGTGAGCCCCATCCAACAGATTAATCCCTTGCCCACGAAAAACACCGCATACACATTACCTTTTTCACCACGGATCTTGTCAAACTGCTCCATCACTTCCTGTTCCGACTTGAAAGGGGAATATTTGTAAATCAGCTCCGTCTCGATAGCAAATTTCTCCATGTTGTCAGTCATGGGCTCCTGGTTCCGTGCATTCCAGGTGGGCAAGGGAACGATGACCTGCACATCAGGTTGGAACAGGAGATTTAGACTCGCACCTTGAGTGCCTTAGGCCTGTGCTTCAGGCCTAAGTGAACATATTCTTTCTGATGGCCCCCCAGTATTGCACATGTCTTTCCTAACTTTTCAGTGTTTTGCATGTTTAAAATACTCAAGGATCTTTCTTTTCCAACCTCCTGGCTACCCTTCTACTACATCTAGTCTTAAGATAAATTCTGGCACCTCAGTGATCATCTTTTAACCTCAAGCTAATGTTAGACACTAGCACAACATAAATTCAAAATTTTTAGTATTAACTCTGCCAGCAAAATTCTCATACTTAAGAATGCTTTCATGTTTCATGTTAAGAGTTTGGATATACACAATGTTGGAAAAAATGTGAAAGCAAAGACATGTAGGGAATTCCTGACCTACAACAACTTCAAACACCACCTTTGGTTCTCTAGTAAAATTCAGATTGAAACAGTAAGTTTCAACATGTCTTGAAACCAAACGTGGTGGGAGAAGGAGAATGCCAGGAGTCTTGACACATCCTGAAATCAGGATGAGGAAGACCTCAAAATCAAAAGGTAAAGGCCTGCAAAGGCATCACCAAGAGAAAATTCTACATGCAGGACCACAGTGGAAATCAGTGTTGGCGCATTCTTCTCAGAGAAGTTCACATGAGGGAGCTTTAGCGCCTCCTGTCACCACAAAGGACGTGCCAACCTCATCAATGCCCTCTTCCTCGTGGAATGTCCGGGACAGGAAGAGGCAGGTCAGAGTGTTGTCCTTCTTCGTGAACAGGATAAAATCCTTCCCAATCCGCATGGAGCCCCTAGAAACAATTTCAGATTATGTTACACTGAGTTAGAAGATGTTTTGAGGTTGGTTTCTGCGAGTTACATTATGAACAGGGAAGTATCCATGGTTTTCTCCCATTATGTTCAGTGATGAAATGTTAAAACCGAATGAGACAGATGCAGCATCATTTGCCCTAAACAACTTGTTCCTTTCAAAAAGGCACCTAAATCCAGACATTTTAACAGATCAAGAGTTCTGTAAATTCATTCCCTAAAATATTTAACACTACTCATAGAAGAAAAAAACAGAAGTATAAAGAGTCAAATTATGAGAAAAATTCAAAAGAATTATTTTTTTAATCTAAAAAAGACAACTACAGTGAGATGGTATAAGAAACTTTCATTATAGGACTACTACTACAAAAAAACGAAATACTGCTACTGGCTCTGGGTTGACTTTCCTACTACTGAAGAAATCAAGATGATGCTCACAGTTACGTCTATCAAGCCACAGTATCTAGCATCCCTTAACAGGCTAGCAGCTCTTTATATGTAATTTTGATGTTATCTGCATGTGCTATTCTGGGGTGTAAGTAAAAGCACCTCCAAGCAAAACCGCCGTTTCCCAGCCCCACTCAGCCCTCGGGAATCTCGGGGGCTGGCTCGGTTGTACCTACGATTTCAGGCCGTTCCCGTACTGCCCAATTTGGGTCGACTCCGGCGAGCGCTTGGCTGATTTTCCAAACTGAATCACGCTGGCAGCTTCATCTGCGGCAGAAGGCAGGAAGCAAAACCAACGTTAGTTTTAACGCACAAAATATCCAATCTTTTAGATAAATTTATTCAGGATTAGGAGGCGGGGGAAGACACCATGGGAGAGGCTGGTAGCTCAAGCCGCAGCCCATCATGAAGCTCCACCACACAGCTCTAAAACCTGCATTATTCAATGGCACTTGTGTTAGTAGAGGCTCTACAGAGATGCCACCAGGCTGACCAAAGGAGGCTGATGACTTAGATGAGGCCGATGCCTCACGGCAGGGCATGAAGATGTCCTTTTAGGGAAGGCTGAAACAGCACGACCTGCTGCATCCCCCACAGTTATGAAAGCGCTCACAAACCAAAACCAAAAAACACCGCCCAGAACCTCCCCAGCTCTGATTCTATCACTAACACGAGCGCTCTGAAAACACTAATATACAGACAGTGCTATGAAAAAGGGGCATGAATGCAGGATAATCACTGATCACTGTTTCCATCACGGAGCTGAACTGAGCACTACAGATAATTAATACCCTGCCAGAACAGCAGCTCCTTTTGCCAGCAGGTTCCTGCAGTGCCGGCGGTTGTGCCGTACTGGGTGCGACGGCAGTGCTCGCCAGCACTGCCACAAGGAACCAGCGTTTTCCTGGCACGGGACAAGGAGAGGACGTGACCGCGTCGCAGCTGGGGGAGCTGCCGCTTCCCGCTCCAGCCTCCCTGTTGTGCAGGGGCTACCGGCTCTGCAAGACAATTCCCCTCCCTTCCCCAAGCCATCACCTTGCTGCACAACTTGCTGGCAGGAACCAACTGCAGCTCCCGGGACGGGAACACCAAGTCCCTGAGCAGGAACCTCCTCCAGACAGGAAGGCTCTAAGGACACTCCCAATGAACGGCGCTCCCTCTTCCTGGGAGAATCACCTGCACCAAGGCCTGCGAAAGCTTCCTGGGGCAGCCAGCCCGCGCGGCTCGGGAACCAGCCCTGCTCCATAGGAAACCTCTCATGGAGCTGCACTTCCAAATGCCCTTTCCCAGTGAATGACATTCACATGGAAAGCCACAAACTGCACCGAAAAGTCCCCAGTGAGCTTGGCTCACTGGACTTACACAAAAGGTCCGTAATTTGTTTGAAAAGCAACTTCTGTTTGGGTGGGAGTACCTGCTTCTCTGACCTGGTCTCCCAGGACATCAGCTCACTATGCTATTTGCACCACAACCAAAGCAAATATTGGAGTTTATCTCATATCTGGTGTTCCAGACACAATTTATTATGATGATTATTATTACTGTGTTAGCTTAAGCCTGGTCAGACAGGGGGATAGAGCTCTAAGAAGAGCCTGTCACTGCTGTCCTTTAGCAAAAGACCTCTCCTTGTGAAAAGCTGCATCAACTTCTATTTAAAAAAAAAAAACCCAAAGAAGCCTAAAAATAGAAAAGGGTAATTGTCCAAAGCATTTCCCTTCTCTCGAAGGTGAACATATGGTTTATCACTCAATGTTGGCAGGCCCAGACCAGTCTAAAAACACTCTTTATTGACACAGCGACATAAGTGACCTCTGCAAGAGGGGTCTAAAGAAGAGTAAATGAGTTTCATTGCACCAGGCTTTCTATCTTTGGGACATACTTAACCTTTATCTACTCAGGAACCAACGTACAAATACATTTTTTAAAATTTTGTACATTTTTTTCTCCAGCTTTAGCAAGTTAAGGCTCTAGAAGGAGATGACTTAATAGAAGTTAGTGGACTATTTTAGCTGCACTGTTTTGGTTTTATCGTGTCTCGCAGTTGCTAGACTTAAAAAACAAACTCCCTGGCAACAACCCGTGGTTTGATGTCATCTACAGCAAACAGGAGAAAAAAAAGTAATTCCAAGGAATTCACTGAAGATGGCAGATTGCTCTTCAAAGCACAGGGAAGCGAAGCAAGGGCTCAGATTAAAAAGAGGGATTGCTATAAAGAAACATCCAACAGCTAGGGATGAGGATGGTGGACAGGGCTGCTTGTGTCCCAGCTGTCACTCCTGGAGAGGAGCCCACACTTCCAAGGTCTCTAGCTGAAGGGACAGCAAAGCAGGTACCAATCTGAGCTTGAAAAACCATCCTTTGCCTTCTACACATCTGTTTTTTGTCAGATTTGCACTGCAGAGACTATTTGCAGCATAATTATTGACCATAGGCTCGAGAACATCTCTGAGCCCAAGTAGCTTATTTACAGAAATATAAAAATAAATAAACAGGGAAAGTTGGGCTGGGGAAAACCAACCAAAATCAAGACCATTTCAGATCTAGCTTCCCTTGGGACAGGGGGAAAGGGGGGAGAAACTCAGAAATCTTTGGCACCGTAACAGATACAGAAACAAACCAGTTATTTTGGTGAAACGAATGAACACAGAGAGCCACTGACAGATCCCTTTGGAGCAGGTTCCCATGAAGACCAAAGATCTCCCCTGTTCCCAAGTTTCCCTCAATGTGTGCTTTAAGTGTGCCAAGTAGTTTCTAGAAACAGTTTCCCTTGGGAAGAGCATGAGCCACTGCGCTGGGATGGTTCTCCCAAGGGCCACAGCCCGGACACAGCAGCATACGCTCACCCGTAAACCGTGCTAGTACCCACTAACATTTACACACAGGTTTTCACCGGGCAGAAAATATTTACAGGAATAAAAAAGCTAATAAAAATAACCAAGATTTTAGTACTTGATTGGCTGCATTGCCTAAAATGGAAGATGCTTTTAAACTCCCGACCTTCAAGCTATATCTTAAGAACCAAGGATTGGGAATACAATTAACTCTCTTTCTGAAGTAATTTTCTTCAAATTGGCTTTTGAATCATAGAACTTTTGCAGTACCAAGAGCCCAAGCAGCAAGCAAAACTTTTCAAGCCTAAGTGCCTTCAGCAGGGACCAGGCACAGAAGGGGCAATGCTGATTCAACCATGTGCCATGAGATGTAGGCTGGGGTTTTCTGTTTGACTCAACTAGCCCCCTGTGAAACAAGCCAAACGTTTGGATCACTGCTGTGATTCCAATATTGCACTGTGGGATGCTATTTTTTTTTTAAATAAAAACCTGTTCTGTGGCATTACTGACTCTCTGGTCTTTCAAGAGCTCTTGACTCCGTACTATGAAGACGGAAAGACTGGACTATAAAGGCTGAACCCAAATGTATTCCGAACCTTGGGTCAAACACCATGAAGAGAGTCGATGCATCAAGTTCTAACTGTAATTCTCCCGGGAGTATTTTGACACATGTGCCTAATTTTTAGCAATGCCCATCGCTGCTTGGCCTAGTGCTTTTCTATACCCTTTCCTGCCTTTATCAAGTTGCATGACCAAATCAGGAAGTCCAGTGTGGAAAAAGACCAATACGAGTGAAGAGCAACAAGGCAGGATGACATCCCTAAACTGCTCCTGAAAGGACTCTTGTTATTTCAGTAGTTAGAGCTCACAGATATCTGCATTTATTTACTTTTTATCCTCCCAAAGGATGCCTCAGTCACAGGCCAGGCTGACTCAGCTCTATAATGCAGCAAATTGATTTCTATTTTTTTTGGCTAGAGTAATGTGTCACAGAGGAGATGATTAATTTTATCTATGATAAGGCCTAAAAGAGTCAGTGCAGAGACAGGAACATGTATCCCCCCTTGGAACTTCCCCTTTTCAACAAGGCCAAGCGACCAACTCTGCTCAAGCCAGAGTGACACTCCAGCTTGAAAATGCAAACGTAACCTCCAGGCACTTACTTGAATCCATCCCCGTTCCATCATCCAGAAAACACAGCATGAAGCCACCTCGCAGATCCTCCCGTTGCTCTGCAAGAGACAGTCAACACTCCCACGTACAATGGCCAAAAGTTCCATAAAATGAGATCCAATTAAACAGCCTCTATAACCGGGGTAGCACAATAAACAGGACTTTTCCAAACCTAATATGGCCAAACTCCAATAACCAGCAGTTTTACTCAAATCATCCTTGAACACTAAGAAAAGGGCACTACATTTTTATTATAGAATGACTAAGAAATTCTCCTGCACTTTATCTTGTAAATATATGCTACAAAGTGTATTGTAAAGTCAAGCTTCTTTAGCCCCCACTATAAACAGTCATTCAACTTGGTGTTCACTTGACCTCAGCTTAAGACTGAAATGACTTTTTGTAGTATCGTGCTCAATTTGGGCAGAAAAGCTGCTTTTCGAAGGCAGGTCATTGTAGTACAGCACAAACAGTCATGGAGGAAAGTCTTATCCTTTTGGGTGGATACTGCATCCTAAATCCGAGCTCTAACTATTCACTTAACCGCAGACGCGTAAGGAAACTGTAAGAGTGACTTACCAGTATAAATGTCTATTCTTGTGGCATCTGCATCTCTACAAATAAAAACCACAGTCAACACTCAATTTTTAAAGGAAGTGAAGCCAGAAGTCAGTGCACTTTGCAGCACAACATTAGAAATTCAGCACAAACCCCATGATTTCCAAGTGGGACCTCTTGGGTGCTCTACAGGTGACTCCACTCATTTTCAACATCCTGCTTCTGACTTTACTTTCATCCTCTCGCCACCCTTGATACCAATAGCCAATGTTATGTAAGCATCTTTAATTCCAGCAATGACTATTTTACCAAATCTTCAAAAGAAATAAAGTAAAAACTAGAGTTGTACTTGAATCCATTTCATGCCTCCTAAGCATTACTGCTCCAAACTGAACTATTCTAGGATTTGTTCCAACTCGAATTGTCACAAATCCTGGGGCTGGGTAGTGCAAGAGGATCAGCTGAAACAGCCATACTCAACTACAGTGGTTTTTGACTATTATTTTATGTTTTTCGTAAAGCTTCCTGGAAATAACAAACTGCTGGAGAACTTGCCCCAAGCACAGGCCTGTTCCGGCCCCCGCAGCGGGACGTGCTGCGGGAAGCGGCTCCGGGACATACCTGGCGTTATCCACCAGCTCAGCAAGGGCCCCGAACAGGAACTCGTGAGTAGTCCTGAAACGAAGCACAGACACAGCGCGGTCACCGCAGCGCCGAGCGGGCCCGACGTACACAACAACCTCCGCAGCCTTTTGAGCAACATTCCCTGATCCGCATCTGCGGCACCACAGCCACCACCGACACGGGGCTGCTCCGCTCGCCTGCTCCCTGGAGGCAGGGCCCTAGCAGAAAGGCTGCCCGGTCACGTTCGGCCAACCTGCTGCTGAGGAAACACCTTGTGGTCAACAAGGGCCTCATTAACAGGTATTAAGAACATTATTGAGCGGAAGCCTATGAACCAGTCAACAATTCATATAAAACCTTAATTACTCCTCAGTAGGCCGCCTGGTGACACCTCAATGGCGCATCTACCAGAACACGGCGGATGAACAGTGCGTGCAAGGTGCAGCTCTCCAACACCCTCGCACAGCACCGGAGCCATTCCTGAAATCCCTGGAGCTGCAGGACGTCCCCCGCAGCTACACACGTTCCCAAAGCCACCAAGAGATCGGCTGCTCCCCCTGTATCACATCGGCTACCCAGTGCGAGGCCACGCTCCTTAATCCCCGTTTGCCACAGGCTTGAAAACAGTGGTTAGCTTCCAGGCTCCATGAGTGCTGACATTAGGCATGTGCCTAACCTCGACGGGAGATGCACAGCATGGAAACCTGAAAGAGCTACCGGGATCTTCTGACGTCCCCCGACACCAAACAGAACCTGTCGTACACCCAGTTCATTGGCAGAGATTCCAACCGTAACAACTATTTCAAATGCAGATGGACCATACCCTTATATCCATCCTCATATTAACTGCAGCTGCAGGATCTGAGAACTGTCTGTTCTCACCAAATCCAGTAATTTGATCAACTGGGATATATATATTTTAATGGAACTGGCTGCTCCTCCAGGACACTTTATCAAGAGATTGAATGCTCAGAAGTTGCTGTTCTATCTGCCCGCTTCAGCTGGCGTGAAACCTCCTCAGATAAACCCTGCTTTGTTGCTGCTCACAGAGGGGCCAGCACAGAGCGTTGTTTGGTTGTTCGGTTCAGACCTGCAGCTCTGGAACAGAGACGAAGGCCCTTCCACACGCGAAGCACCCGGCTGTCCACAGTGCCAGCACCGACCGGGTGAACGTTCACATCCACGGCAGTAACGCAGCTCTCGGCAGAATGAGGCAAACCAAATTTCAAAGGTATCCCTGCAGCCATGAAAACCAGCTTTTCTCTGCAAGCTTCCACTTGCCAATGAGCAGAGATGAGAGCCTGAGGGCAGATCTGTTTTGAAGAGTATTTTCCTCCTGAGCAGAGCCATCAAAGCGCTTCCAGAAGCTCCAAGCTGCTGCTCCCACATTTCCGCACACCTTCCTGGCCTCAGATCTCAAGTATTAGCTCAGGAGCACTCTGTAGTTCTGCATCCCTGAAGTTTATTTAGAAAGTAACCCCATCACAAAAAGCCACAAGCCAAGATGTTTCAGCACTAGTGACTGAGCTTCGTTAGCAACTAACTTGCGTCATTAGGAAACTGCACTGCAATTTAAGGAATGCTTCAAAAGAAGGGAAAGATGCAGATGAGTTACACAGAGCAGTGCCTACAGAAAGAGGCTGGAACAAAGTAATTTCCACCCAGAAGGGCACCCCACTCAACCTGGACAGCTCTCAACCCTGGGACCCCTCGTGCTGACACAGGCCAAGACAGACCTTGCTGAAAGCAAGTGAAACTGAGTCCAGCTCTTTACCACTGCTAGATACAAATACACTACAAATACACCACATAAAATACATTATCTTCAACACCTGACCCAGAGAGTCCCAAATTACCTAGCGAATATCAAACCAGAGGCCGCACGCAGTGGTCGGCATGATTTGACCTGTTCAGCTATAACTGAACCCACGCTGCTGCCTTCGCGCCATCGCAGATGAGCAAGACACCAAACGCGCGTCCTGAGCAGTGACAGGTCCCCTCGCCTCTGTGGGAAAGCCCGGGGTTTAATCCCACACAGGGCAGCTCCCAAAGCACCAGCTGAGGGCGAAACGGAGCCCACCGGTGCTCGCACAAAGCCTGGAGCCCCCTCACTGGGAGCCAGCCCGGCGCCCAAGGCTGCATTAACCCGAGGCAGCAGGAGCACCGGAGATCAAACTTGCTGATCACATCGCTGGTGTAGCGAAACACACGCAGGGAAAATGGAAAGAGGAATCCGCGGAATTGGTGACAGCTCCTCTTAGCAGACATGGACAGGCCCGGAAGCCTCCTCCTTTTTTGTGTTTCATTCAAGGCAGCTCTGTGCCAGAGTCCGAGCTTGACAAAGGAAAACAGACCAGGGGAGTTGAACGCTGCCAAAGCACATACCCAAATCCTGGTGCAGGAGGTCAAGCCGGACACCTCCAGAGAACACAGAACGTTTCTGCGAGCCCCGGGGAGCAGCATCTTTCCAGGCTCCCAAGAGGTTTATTTTGCGAGTGCTTCTGAGAAGATGCCTCTGCCTGAACCCTGCTGGACTCCTAATCCTACAAAGTCAGACGAGTACCTAACTACTAATGAGAGACAGAAGACTTTATCTTTGTTCTGAAAGATGCCACATCTGGCAAAATAATTAAGCTAGGAACTTGGCATCCGTGTCACAAACAAGAGCTCTTCTCTTGCAGTTGTATTTTAACTTCTCAGGCCAGGTCAGGAAACACGCACAGAAAAAAGAGCAGAGCGTGGGCCAGTGCTCGGAGGCTAGGAGTTCATCATCATCATCACGGTCGTTATTCCATGAGGTCACTGCCGAGCTGCTGGGGAGCCCTGTCGTTTACGTGGAGTCCTCCTGCGCCAGCTGTGGGGAATGGGACAACCTCGACTGCAGCGGGAACGCGGAGCTCAATCACACCCTAACTCCTCCCTGGGCACCGCTCTTGGACAACAGTATCGGTACTCAAGTTTCAATATGCACCTTTAATTACGCCTTAAATATACTTAAAAAGGTGTCAGTTGGGTCCAGAGACCCCCAGTCGTTTGTACAAGTCTCAATAAATGACTTCAGAAGTGTTTTTAAAGTAGCAGCATTTCATTTTTTTAAGGGAAAAAACAGCCTCCACACAGACAGCTTTGAGAAGCCTCCAAAAGAACAGACCTGTAATGTTCATGCGCTTACATGGGACTTCTTTATTGTAAAAGCCAAAAGGACCTTCACAGCTCAAGTACTCCAAGTTTCATAAGAGCATTTGGATGAATATCTGTGGCACTAGAGAAAAGCAGGAGGCGAAAGGAGGAGCGGGGGGGGGGGGGGGCACTAATTGAAGTCATTCAAGCAAACATACTGAAACCTGCCACCAGGCATGGAAGTGTTAAGCTATCCTAAAAATCAGCTACAAGCCCCGAAGTGTGGGGACCATGAAAACAGCCTTTGAAAAGCTCTCTAGATTTTAGTCTGTGTCAAGTGCATTCTATTTTTTCTTTGCTTTGAGAACCTAGAAACGGAGCAAAAGTCAATCAGGGTTTCCTTGCACAGCTCCACAGCTGGAAGGCTGATGGTCCGCTGCAGCTTAAGCTCCTTGACCATGGGAGCACCTTTATCACTGAGGTCAGCCCAGGACTTCTCAGGATACCATGGCAGGAGAACACCAGCTGAAAGACGACCAGGAATCCTGAGGGGGCTGTTTTGTTCCCCTGCACACAAACTTGTTAAACATATTTCCACCGTTTCCATTCCTTGCCATTGTTGTTCTTCCCAGGGAACCTGTGATTAGGCAGTGCTCCCTGCAATCCCACTCTTCACTCACAGTGGATCGAGTGTCCTGACACCGGCCGATACCTACTCCTATTGACCTATAACCCTTCCTAACAAACTCAGTGCGCTTCCACTTTGCTAAATCCACAGCATGAACTGTCTAGAGACTATGGCGGCAGCACAAGATGATTTTGATGCTTTAGGAAAGCAACTACAGCAGTCACAGAAGGCGAGACTTGTGCAGCACAGGCCTTAGCTCTTGTCTTGTGAGCAGAGCCTGGATTCCCATGGCCTGCAGAGCACAGCACTGCTGACAGTTTTGCCACACAGTTATTTTTTTCATATTTTTTCCATCCATAAAAGCACCTGCCGAGGAGCATTTTATCAAGGAAGCACCAGCAGTTCTGTGTTGCCTGTTGTCTTCGGGCACCAGCCTGTGGACTTCGTAAGCAACTACTGCAGGCTAAGCCGGGGGCAAAGGCAGCGGATAGCAGAGCCACAGGTGACATCAGGCTGTCATCAGTTTCCTTCTCCTGTGCAAAAACTTGGCTTTCCTCACAGTGGAGGGAAATGGAGCACAATGCTCCTGCCATAAGAAAGGATGTGAGATCCAGCAGCCCAGGCGCTCTCGCAGCCGAGCTCTGCACTGCCAGCAAAAACACGGCAGCTCCACACCAAAACCGAGCTGGGTGCTGCTGCCGGCCGCTGCACTGCGTCCTCCTGAGTCGCCCCCGAACGTGTGGGGATATGGCAGCACTTTCTGCTCTCCTATCCGTGAAGGAAGCAAGAGTCAGTCTTCCAAGAGATGTTAAGGACAATGCCATGGCAGGTACTGGTTTCCAGGCAATGGAAGGGAAGCAGCATGCCCTGGGCCTCGGGCCCCGCTCCTCGGGAACAGGCCGCTTCCCAGGGCTCCTCCATGCATGGCAGGACGGGGGCTCGGCAGGCACTTGTCTCACAGGGACACTTCCATGGCTCTATGGGCATTCCCAAGTGGCTGAAGCTCGAGCAGCCGGAACACTGCCTCTTCCACAGAGGCCTCATTCTGCAGGATCCTGCGGTGGCGGCGGCTCCACGCTCCCGTTC